TAAAACTGGGCTTGAATTGAGAAGGAAATTATCCGCAGTAAATAGGATGTGTTTCGGCAGCCAACCGGACGACGGATTCCATATATCTGTCAACCACCGCGATCAAGCGCAGGTGGAGAGTAGGCTTCTGCTTGAACTACTCATCCGCTAGCAGTAGTTGAAATTAAAATTTAGAAACCGGCTCCCTCGGACGAGTAGTGTGGACGACAGCCGATTGGGATTCCCGGTTAGCTGCGTTCAAACAGTTCGAAAACAGCCCAGTCGTTCGTGATTTTGGATATTTTACGTCTGATTTTTCATCATACTTGATGCCTTTCATACATTTTTCGCATTAGAACTTCCAATCGTAAGCAGTTAGACCAAAACTGTTTACCACTGCAGCCTTGTTGCCATGCCCAAAACCAGATTCAACGTCTCACCGCATACCTCTGGTTTGGCATTCTTTCGTACGTAGCTGGATATCCGAGTGTGATGCCAAGCACAGTGACTTGAAGCATGCGTGAGAGCATGTGCAGGTATCTTCCTCAGTTCGATTGTTATCCATCTACTCACTTGGGTTCCCACGTGTTTCCACAGTCAATCAATGCTAAATGCATGCTGTTCTTTACGCCTTCTTTACGCCCATACGATGATAATTGACAACCTGGGGCTACCCGAGAATTATAAATACGAATATGTTTGCTGATATTGAATTCTGTCTTAATGAATCTACATATATCTTCCAAATGTCATGAGTTGAAGAGCAGGATCAAATTACTTCTTTGTTCAGTAGATTTGGTTAGGTGTGCGGATACGCGATCGAAAACCGGTATCCATGGGAGTTTAATCACTCTTGGAAACCGTGACGTTTCATACATCAAGTGCACCACGCAACGCGCTTAACGTAATCTGGTAAGCTCAGTTGACATTTTAAAAACTTCCATGGGTAGAATAGTAGTCCATGATTTTAGCAACAAACTGCTGTAATATATGCATCAAATAAGAAAAAAGCAATAGAAAACCTCAATATCAAGCTGTTGTACAGCCTTATGAATTTCAGAGAAAGCGTCAGACGTATAAAAAAGATAAAACCATACGCTAAAGTTCGTCAGGATGATATTACTTAGTGGCTAAAATAAGCGATTGGCCCAAATGAGCGTCCGTAAACGCTGAAAATATAGTTTATTAGGTCAAGATTCAGAAACCGATGAGAGACACTAGCGCATACTAGATCCCCGAAACAAACGTCACTGATGTGGTGAATTCGTCCATGAACATGGTTTGGATGGTGAGAAGAAGGATCAGTCCAAGTATATTTCTTTTCTGTTTACAAGTACACGATGTCCAGCATGCCTTAACATATTAGTTTGAAGCAGTGTGGTGGTGTCAGTAAATTCGTGAATAAAGATTTGTTTGGAGATACTCCCTAAAACTGGGCAAGATGATGCACATAGCTTCATTGGAGCCTTTCTCAACAGTCAACCGTGAACAGATGTTTATTCGTATAGAAGTCAAAATTTTCGCTCACTAACATCCACAGAGCTGGCGAGTCGTCCAACCCTGTCACTTTCACTGCGTACTCAGCATGTAGGTTTCACATACAAGACAGATCTCGAGTGAACTTTCGCGCATACCTAGTCGACAGGGCTATAGTGAAAACAACACATGCTAGAGTCGTGTTTGGCCTCCAACTTTATCATTGATAAGACATATATATATATATATATATATATCGTCCTTAAATTTTGGCTCCAGTTTTGCTGCCTATTCCCCCTCATGCTAATGCAATTTTTCATCGTCGACTAAGTTCACAATTTTGACGAAGCAACGTTGGATAGCTATCCTGTGACAGCTGCAACCGACCGAATCAGCAACGTGTTTTTTTAACGATATATCTGTGTTTCGTACGTGCACCGATCTCCAGTGAAATGCTTAAGGCAATTGTGTAATAAATCCATGGTGGATTTTCAGAAAGTAAGGTAAATGAAGAGACAGGATAATCAACAAAATCATGGATACTTTGTTTCTTGATGAATCACACTACATGTGAGTTTATGGAAAGCTCTTCAGCACGCTTTCAACTTCCTCCAGAGCGATGGTGAGACGCTTCCATCGTTAGGAGCACGGCGGAAATTAGATTCAATATTCGGCTTTCATTGCTGCTTATTTTCAAGGCTTCCAGGTGGACTGATCTGCGTTATGGTATGGTCAAGTTCGGGTAGAATAAAGACGTGAAACTCTACTCGCAAGGATGCTGAAAGCACTTCGTCAGTCCATGACCGATTTCACACTTATTTAGGCTCATCATAGGCTCAACAAAAATTGTAATGATTTTTACAAATGCACTAATTTGCATGGCGATTTGTTTTTGACTGCAGTCTCACCTGGAACTTAAACTTAATCTCCCGCAATGTTCTTAAGCAACTGAATATGCTGCACCATGCCACCTCAATAACATCATAGACGAGTGGTTCAGCTGGATTTCAGGTGCTTCCCATCCAAACTAAATTGATATGCAACTGGGTGTATTTATCGGAAAGAAAATCCTAACTAGGATTGTTCAGGATGAGTAACATCCGTTGTGTGTAACTACAAAAATCAAGGCTTTCAGCTTCGGTGTAGTGACGCGTTCTGTGTTTAATTTCGCCAAGCTATCAAACACGAAAATACATAGAGGGGGATGAATACATATGACAAAGGGTGACAGATGGAATAACCACTTAGAAATCAGCACTGCGAGAGAACAATGCTGAGTGCATGGCAGTTGTCGTCGAAGAGTAAGATAATACGACGTGCTACTGATGAAGGAATAGTAGCCCAAAAGTTTACCAGCCTTTTGCGAGCCAAAGTGCAGTGAAGCTGCTTATTGAAATCAAGGGCTCATGTGACATTTGAATTGATCGTCAGATGAGTAGTGTGCCGCTATGAGGAGGAGCTTAGCGATGTCAGTAGGTGTTCATTGAGAAGTAGTGTGCATACATTCAATACACGTGGTGCCAATCGGGCTGACGTTTTAGTATATCTGATTGTTTTGTGTGAATGCGAACTTAACCGGTGTGTCACTCCCACGTTTTGTAGGGCCACGGCAGGTAAGCCATCCAATGATCTCGATTATTGGTCATCGTTTGAGTGGCCTTCACTCCTGACTTCTGCAACTTGTAGTACTTCCACAGCGAATCTTGCCTTTTGATCCGTTTGTGTATTCCAGTTGAACCGCTGGTTCTTTGCACACACCGGTGCTAAGATTGAATCTAGTTTAATATGCGATGTTCTCTTTCCCGCTTGCGATGGTTTTTACGCTCTCCAGAGTGGTTTTGTGCCATTTTGCGTGTTCATGTGTAGAATTCAAGGAGAGCTGCATCGTGCGCTTCTGGTCGCATATACAGTTTTTTCTTGGTTTATACGAAATATAAAGTGTTACAGTTTCTGCAGTTGAGTTGATACTCCTAGTTGCTTCTCTTGATGTTGTACTCTGGTCTTGAAATCACTTACCGTTTACGGGCAACCATGACTAACATTTACACCATTCTTTTCTGATCAGTCTTTCATCCGTCATGGTGTAATCATTTTGGTAACAATAAGCCCTCATTCCCCTCGGAATAGCCTTGCGATCCCCTAAGACTGACAAAATTCTATTCTAAACTAATAATGATTCTCAGTCCATATGCTTTGACGTAAGTTAAGACTGTCCGTTTCTTTGTTTTGTTTTCCTTGTTGTTTTTGTGGTCGCGGTATCTTCCTCCTCGTGCTTGTTGTTTTCAAACTCCGTGAATACTCTCATGTGGTGTATTTCTTTTACCTTACGCAGCCCGTAAGTGCTGTGAGATGTCTTCTTCCAGAAAAATAAAGTGTGATTGCATCTTTTTTGTGATTCGTTGCCAATATTTTCTGGTTTAGTTCATTATTTGGTCAGTGGATGTCTTTTTCAGGTACACGCAGGTTTTGACAAACCCACTCAGCTTCAAGTTTAGTAAATTGTCGAAAAACAGTGACCCGTTATTTTGCCAGTTCTTTTGTGAATCTAACGTCTTTAAGTGTAGAGATCGTCTACATAGCTATTTTTTAGTTTCCAGGTTTCCGTTGAACCACTGTAAATCTGAATCTTGTTCCATCCTTGACCCACAGAAGAGTTTTCACAGCTCCATCGAATGTCGAGGAACAATACTGACTCCTTTGGTTAATTTATCAGTACAAAATTTATCCAAATGTGAGTTAGAGTAGATTGCACACTGAGTTTTACATCTGCAGTTCGCACAACAAAATTGATTTAATGAAAAAAGACAGTCACTCCATATCCGCCTTGCGGCCAGGATTTGTGAACGGCAAAAATAGCTGACAGGCTAAACCCACGTAGATGCTGCTGTCACATCCCAATCAATCATCTTGAACGTTACGCTTAGGTATCAGTCAACCTCTGTTTCTCCCGTCCTTTTGCTTCAGATTATTTCAATCGCGACGATCACTCATTGTCGCTGAAATCCACATCATGCAACTATGACCTGAAGTTTGTTGTAACTGCGACCAATATTGTGTGTACTCGTCTGATGTAATTTCTATCTTGGTTTGCTTGGGCGGCATAGGTTGCATCGAGCGAAATGGTGTCTTGTTAGTGGGCTCCCACAGAAGAAACTTTCCGTAGGAAAGATCAGCTTCACAACAATTCAAAACAGTGTTCTCAGTTAGCCGTCCATGACATAAAAGCCTAACCTACGAAGAGAGGTAAACTGCCCAGGATGGGCCAAATTCACATTTCTCGAAAGGACACACCTCATGAACTATTCGCTGTGACAAGTTAAAAAAACTGAAAATGTATACACATTCTTCACCATGTTCCCTTGTTGATTATTAGGAAAAGCTACGAAGCTGTCACAAAATCAAGCGCATCTGCTACATCTCTCTCTCTCTCTCGGTAGATATTGTTAATGACCACCAGGTATGACAATGATGCGGCTTTAAAAACAAGCAGTGCAGGTGAATAAATCTTTGAGATTTCCCGGTATACTCCACAGCAGTGAACTTACCTTTGAATGCGCTCTCATGTTCCGTCAGGCACTGGATCGAATATCTTCGTAGTTCACTCTTCAATGCTAAAATGGTGAACAAAAATTGATATTTATAAAAATGTCTTCTAAAACGCTTTACTAACTCACTGCTTCTTCCATATGTTACTTAAATGTCGAGACCCATCCTCAACCAAATCTTCTTTCTGTAAATGAAGCCTCTCGCTAATGAAAACTTGAGTTGCTGTTTCACCTGTCCCACTCCTGTCGGGAATCACCAAAAATGCTCATCCCACGATCGTCTGATTATATTAATATTATATATTACTCTAGTATTGCGCAAATAATAGTGCTTGCGAATACTAGTGCTTCTGGCTATTTTTTTCATGAAAGTGAGGCTTACTATGGAACCAGATTCCCAATGTGAAAAGTTGTTTCTAGTCAAGTGTCAACCTGTCTAGAGAACCATTTTGTTCTGGCTAATCATCAGAGTATTTAATTTATTGATCACCGATCCAAATATGTTGACGACGTTAACCTTCCTTACTACTCTGATCAGCGGCAAACATGCTATATTTATACTTGTCAAAAATCGCGTTAGGTCGTAGAGTAGGGGAGAGTAAGTTCCAATACGTTTTGTGAGGGCTTCATCATCTTTTATGCCGTGATCAATTGTTTCACAAGTGACTAACAACTTTGGGTTTTCAGCTGCTCGACTGAATTTTGAAAGCTCAAAAGAGATGGCGGTGTGCCGCGCGATTGATTACTCTTCAGTTGCCTGTCACTGATATTCAGGTAGCGTCTACCGTCCGCGTAGCAAAAGGTCTCGTAAATTAGTCTAAAAAAGGTACTGGCCTGTTCTGACTGTTTATGCTTTACTGCAACGCAATGAATAGGTTGCATGTGTGGCCTACTCTTGGATTTAGTGAAATACGTGAGTTCTCTGGTTGCACCGTTAAAACGCAGCTGAGCGGCTGGAAACCTGCATTTTTGGGTCGCTTTATTTCTGTGCTGCTTTTAACCCTCAAACAGTGGGAAGAAAGGATTTTTTCTCCAACAACAATGCTGGTCACCTCCGAAGGTGCTTTCGATTTACTGTGGGGAGAGGGGATGAAGTTGTTCGTGTAAACTCTGACCGCTCTTTCTTAAGCCGGCGTAATGCTGATTGGTCTTCGGTCGCTCACTAAGGATTTTCGAATCTCCTGGGACTCATTAGGCAGATAAACTCATGTTCTAGTTGAACGCCTCATTGAACATCAAATTTCTGATGAAATTTCTGACGAAACACCCTCATTTGCAAACTTGATGTGTTTTACATGTACAGCTCCACGGTGGTGGGAAAATTACTCGTCATGGTTTAACTATAATTAGCGAAATCAATAATTTTCTGTGAGCAGTTTCTTTACAAAAAAACCAATGTTTTGTTTACAGAACAGCAGTAGGTCTCATTGTGATCCAAAAGACACTCAGTGAAATATCGAATGCGGTGGTCTCGTCGCAAGTGCAATCAGCTCCTTTCCCGGATAAGACATTGTTAAATAAGTAAATGAGGACCATGGAAACTGGTCATTAATAACCAAGCAATAATTGCAGATTCTATCAATAGCGAGTTCAGACAAAAGCACGAAGTCTACCTAAAATTTCCCCGCCTCATAAGCTGGTTGGCAGGTCAGTTGACGATAACTGGTGATAGAAGTTTCGCCTTTCCTATCCATCTGCATTTTCTATCGAGTCCTATGAGATCATGTCGCAAAGTATTGTTCAGTTTGAGCACTCTGATGCCATGTAATACATCCACTGCGAGGAATCTTGGTAGTCAGGCTACCAACAGACGTTTCTTTGTGGTCTTTAATAAGGTTTGAAATTTTATACTCCTGGATTTAGTCAGAAAACTAGCTCGATATGTTGATGGTTTGTGTTTGGTGTTTTGTTAGCCCAGTATCCCCCTTGACAAGATGTAGAAATCAAAATTTTCGCCACACACAACCAATCAGAGCAACGCAACAGCAGGCTGTGATTGTTTAGGAGATCTGTGTCGAGTGGTGTGAGTGATTCTTTCGCCTAGATCCAAAAATACACACTGGCTTTTTGGTTACGTATGGCCACTTATACAAGTGTACAGCTCCCCTATTTTTGCGGTATCTCCGTTCACTTCTCAGCACTTTAGTACATCAAACGCAAAGCCTGAGTGTTCCTGTGTATTCAAAAGTTATTCTTATGTTGTATTTGTGTAATACAGTGTTTACGTCCAGTAACCGGCTATACAAGCTATGCAATGGCGTTGATTTAAAATCTTATATTTCATCATTTGTTGTTAAATGATTTCTCCAACAAAAGCAAAATTTTGTCTTAAAAGATATTCAAACCTCCCAAGTTTCAAATAAGGCATTTTGCTGATACTTTTGCTGTTCTGACGAATTATTAAATGGATAAACAACTGCGTTCTCAATAGTTCCTACGATGTTGTAACGCAACCGAAAATGAACTGTGTCCCCGATGAGCCCCAGACAAAGGGTAGCATGATTGCAAACCTCTTTACGTGACCTTGAGCTTTTGATATAACTGAACTGTACAGTTTCGGTTTCGGTTTCGGCTGTCGAACAAACGTGTTCCCGCACCGTGGTGTTTCTGCCTTCGTCCCCAGAGAAAGAGAAACATGCCATTAATTTGACTTGCTAAGGGATACTTTGTGTCAGTCAAAAGTGCTCGCACTTAACAATTTGGGTCATTCTCAAAAACAATGCGCTCGCAGTCTACACACCCTGACTTTTTCAATTTTAGGCAGGCATGAATAACAGCTGATGTTCTAACACAATTAACTAAATTCACTCAGTTTCTCATCCCTTGACAACCCATCTAATGTTGTCATAATATGAATCACCATAATACAAATCTCAATACGGAATGAGATGACACTAGTTTTCAAGCATAGAAAGATAAATTGAAGTTGAGCAGGTCAAAATAGTGTAATCTTGGCAAGGTGTAAATAGGACCAATTGTGTGTAAGCCACGGATCTTCAGACATGAATGTGGGAGACAGAGTGCAAATCATCATCATCATCGTGGACAGCATGACATCAATGTTCAACAACGTGTCTCCCTGCCGTACAACCATGAATCATTTGAAAGCCATGTTGTGACGAAAAGAATAAAGGTGAACGGAAGGGAATTAGTGCTGGCTTACTACAATCATTCCTACACCTCCAAACACTCATTCAGGCAATCTGGTTAGAAAGTGACATTAGAATCGCCACTGATATTGTTTGGAAGCCACATCTTGCAGCGTCTTCAACCAGGCGCAGTGAGGATCATGCGGTCCCAATCTTGAAAGGCGAGTAGCACCGACAGCACCCAGAGGTTTCCTGATTTCTTCAATACCCGTTTGCCAGGTCAAGGGTTGGCCACCTCCTTGCTTACACCACTCTGAAAGCAAGGAAACTTCCACCCGATGACTTAGGAAGATAACAACCCTTGCACATCCCGCTGCAGCAGCCACTGGATCACCAGAGGTGCGTAGCCGGAAGCGGCTGGAGACTGATGGGGTTGTTGGCTCACTCACTGTGCTTGTATCTTGAATTCTTGTTTGTGAGACACAGCACCCATCAATGCCAAGCGAGTACATTGTGAGACAAAGAGCTACTTACTGTCCTGCTTGCATTAGAGTACGCCCACTGAAGGCGGTCAGATAGACAGTGCGTCGAGGCTTGAAGATTGATTTGAAGGTACCTGACGATGTCGGTGCCATATGCTGAGCGGAAGTTGTACGCAAAACCGATGCAAGACGAATGGATTCATCAGTCCTAAGTGCTATGCCTACAATAGAATTGTTATTTTTGGGGTGGGGTGAGGAGGAAGAAAAGGTATGTGAAAGAGAAAGAAGGGAGGCGTCAGAAGTGGCCTGCATTCGCTTACCCGCCATGCTGTGTGCAGCGAGTAAGGTGCCCCGGCTGATGGAACCACGCGACAGCCGATGTGGCATGAGTTTGTTTGTATGTGTGTAGTCCATCGTTGTATGTGGGCTGGGATACTGTCAGCGCGCCAACACCTAGACAGTAGAACGATTATGGTCCTAAAACAATGCCTTTGACTCAAGAGCCGAACTTCAAGGCAACAGTGTTTGACGTGAAATGCAAATGCATTACCATTTCTACGGAACAATTCGCCACACCCCTAATCTGGAGGATCAGAAGACTGTGTTCGTCAGACCTCTAGCCATTGACAAAACGGGTATGACAGACTCTGTGAGTATCGCGGGGACACCCGACCAATGGGGTGCGCACACACCACGGTAAAGTCCAGTCTCTTCGTGACGGCTGAGTGCAAATACAGCTATTATAACAGGCAGCCATTACATCAGTGCATTGTTTGTTTGTTTTCAACAATCGGGTGGGCCAAGCTGACATAAACGAAAACCACCAGAAGTCAAATTCTTGAAATGGAGTTTCACCAATTTTTGAGATACCATGAGTAGATTTGTAAAACCAAAAAGTTAAAATTCTCAAATGGTGGGCTTACACTGGTTTCTAAACACAAATAGCCCCATGTGGGATCCCAAAGTTCACATCGACTCTGGACAAGGTAGCCACAAGTTCGCGAATTCAAAAAGGTTGGTTTAAACAAGACTTCCGATGGAAAATTCACACAGTAGTTTACTCAACGGTCAAAACAAGAAACGCAGTATAGACTGAAAACGGAAACAACAAAACAAGAAATCGCGTTGTGCACAACCACAGTAGAACAGAATCAACACCTCCCTTCAACCCAGGATGGCTTTACTTGATCTACAAACTCACTCCATCGCATGCTAGAAATAAAATCAACGAGAGGAGTACAAGTGGTCTACTGACAACTGTATCCATTTATCAGGAGCACGCGCCTAGCGCGGGTGGGAAACTAGTTGTTTGTTACTCCTTCCAACAGGCATATACGGTGTATATCGCTAGTGACCTTACTAGCGCTTCCCAAAAGTGGTCATCAATTCTGGGCTTGGCTTCCACTACGGTGCTTTTTGCCCAACGTCCGCGACTTGGATTGTCGCCGCCGAATAACACAAAGTCCCCAACTCAAAAACTTCGACGGTTTCTCAT